CGATTTTCAATGGCTCTCATCAGTTAGGTGGTCTCATGTTATATATAAGGAAAAAATACATTAACAATATTACATGATTCATACAGTCAACCATAAATCTTATAATAACATTATAATAATAATAAACCGAATAAAATGTGATTTAAGTATTTTATTAGGCATTGAATTTTAGCTTTTTATTAATTGTAAAGACTATTTAAATTAATTTTAGCTACATTCATAATTTAAACGTATAATAATCCGAAAAGGATGCTATTTACATCTATACGTAAATAATCTTACAATTTAATTACATTGTTCCGTTAATTCGTAGGATTTTCTTAGTTGTATAAGATTACATTCGAGGCACATTACAGAAATTTCGATAGTGTTTTTTTTTATATTATGATATTTATGCTCAATTCTATGGAGCTAAATTATTATTTATGTCATTTACTTCATAAAGTATTGTATAATTTGAATTTCGTAAGTTGAACATTTAAACACTATAATTATTTATTATAGTCTAACAAAATAAGGTGTTATAATGAAATTCTAATACTTTATCAAACTTTTTTTTATAAGTTGTAGATGATCAATGGCATTTAACACAGTATTATACGTTTTATACTGATGCAACATATCTCGTGAATGCAGATTTGATTTCATTAATTATAATTATTTATCAATAAGTGAAAAAAATTAACTTCTGTAACAGCATTATATTTTTGTATCACCTCACGATTATAAGCTCTGACACTTCATTATAACAGTATAATTCTGGTGTTATAATAACTAAAAATAATGTACCGCTTCAAGAAATAATGCTCACAGAATTACAGTGTTTAAAAATAGCTAATAAGCCATTTGTCTTCGGCTTTCAATTTGAATTTTTCTATTTATACCTGGGTATCTGGTGTAAGTTTTACGTAATGTTTTATGTTTCAGATCTATGACAACTTCATTTCCATTGAAAAAATTTTTTCTGAAAATTTGCCAGTTGAATATAAATATAAGGTATGATAGTATCGAAACAATGTAATACAATACGAGTTAATTATTAACAACAAACTTTGTATACACTTTCAGATGATTTGCTTTATGAAGAGATTTAAAGGATATTCAATGGGAATATCTGTGGCAGGCTTTTTCTATGTTAGAAAGGATTTCCTAAATAGAGTAAGTTATTTTATTACAAACCTATTTTAGTGTAAATGATAAAAAAATTTACTATTATCGTCTCTTCATAGATGACGAGTGCATTATATTCTATTTTCTCTTCGGCTATACAAGTTACCGGCGTGATGCATAAACAGAAATACTGTATTTCTTCCACAGGTAGTAATAATGTTACAACCAACAACGTGAGTTCTATATTCTTCAATGATACAACATATTGATGACATTATTGTCATTCAGTAATTACAGGCATTTGTCGCAAAATGTAAATTACTGCAAAATGTCTGTAGTACGTTTCGTAAAAAAGTAGTACCCAAATTCGCCGGTAGGGGAGGATTTGTCGCTACTGTAGCAAACAGTTAAGAATTTGCATAATGCCCTGGTAACACCTCAAAATCCAGCTTTACAATGACGTGGTCGACAGCAGTGCCACTTAATTTGAGCTTAAATGACAAGGACAAAAGTCCAAAGCACATTCCGGACTTCAGCAGAGTTCATTCAACATGAATCTTTCGTTACCTCAGCATGCTTTGCTTGTGAAAGTTTATTATCTTAACCAATCGAGCACTCCGGGCGCTCTTTGTGAGTTTAGAACACGTAACAACCTGCGCAAAGGTCCTCTATCAATTAATGCATTGAAAGACTTGATAAAGAAATTTGAAGAGACAGCATCCTTAGCAGTTCGGCCTGATAGGGAGCAAAAACAGGTGTCTGTAGACACAGATAGTGATGTTGTGATTGCACTTGTTGAAGGTTTTAACCCGCGGATCTAATCCCATGTGACTTTTTCCTGTGGGGTTACTTAAAGTCGAAAGTCTATCTTGGTGGTGTCCCCAACTTGATGACCTTGAAGGACAACATTTCTCGAACTGTGATAAATATACCTGCGGACATGTTACGTTTGGCCATAGAGAACACCGTGTTCAAGATGCAATGTGTTGTCCAGCAGGACGGTGGTCACATTGAAAGAGAGATAAGGTTATTTGCTAATTAATTAAACTTTCATTATTGCACTGAAACCTCTATCTGATTATTCATTCGTGTGTTCGTTAATTGCAGCTGGGTTTTATGCAAATTCTTAGCTGTTTTGCTACAGCAGCGCCAAATCCACTCCTACTGGCGAATTTGGGTACAACTTTTTTCTTTGCGGAATCTCTTTCTCATGTCGTCCTTAGTCACTCTCCCAAATTTGGCAACAGTACGGTTGTTAGATCGCTTCACAGATGTTTCTGAGTACCATCAGTTTAAAAAAGCACCCTGTAAATTAATTTACATAATTCTATTTAAGGAGTTTAAAATTTAATTAAATATATAAACAATTGTCAGGAGAATACATTATTTTAGTACATGTTTAAACTGTTTGCCCTCAGCAGTAATAAATTAAAAAGCGGGAATGATGTTGAAAATCACTTTTGACGTCAATGATAAAAAGATTTCAATCAATGTTTCTATTCACGACTTTCTTTGTAATTACATTAACAAAAATGAATACATCTTCATTGATTTTGGTATGAAAGGGACCGAGTAATTTAGACTCGTACAATATATAAATTTATTTCCCAGCTTTCAAATAGTGTTGTTATGCGTATTATTATGACAGAATTGCGTAATAATGCGTTGTATAAATAAGGAAAACATTAAATTTGAGTTAATTTAAAACTTAATATATTTCACATAAATTAATTTTAAACTAAAGTATTCAAATTATTTATAAGCCAGATCGTGGGAACACATCGTATTTTCGGAATGCAAAAAGCTTTAAATTTTATTCTATCTATCTTGTATCAAGTTAATAAAGAAGTTATTGCGTGATCGTTTTCCTCCGAAGATCTGGCCGAAGCATCTTTTATGAACAACAAGAAATTAATTGCAAAAAGTAGGGGTAAATTGTTTCTGAGGGGTCTGTAATTAATGAAAAGTGGCCTCTATTTAGGAGTTATAGACATGAGAAAACCTGGAAAACTCCACATGGCACTCCACATCTTGGCTATGCGCGAACACACGACCGAACTAGCAGTGGTTAAGGAACAGAATCGCATGGCCACTTGCAGGCATATTTTATTTTAAATCTGTACAATTAGGCATTTATCGCAAAATATTTATTTTACAAAAATATTAAAAAAAGTTTGTAAAGAGCGAAAATTTAAAGTTGTTACATATAATTATAAACTTATCTTTCATCGCTTTAAATAAAGAAATATTAAAAACTTTTCTTTATTCATGTGTTAGATATATAAAGCAATTCAATCATTAACAATGGATTTAAAATGATGTCAATAAAAACAACAGGAGTCTGTGGTTGAAGTGAAATCTGTCATAGAAAGCATACACTAATAAAAAATTTTCAACTGTGATCCGTATGTCCGAGATTTAAAAAATACATCCTTAATTTCGAGAATAGAGTTGAGTAGATGAAAGCCGAGACAAGATATGATAAAACAAGAGTCAGGAGACCCCGATTAACTATNAAATCTGTCATAGAAAGCATACACTAATAAAAAATTTTCAACTGTGATCCGTATGTCCGAGATTTAAAAAATACATCCTTAATTTCGAGAATAGAGTTGAGTAGATGAAAGCCGAGACAAGATATGATAAAACAAGAGTCAGGAGGCCCCGATTAACTATATACAAATATGCGTTATATCAATTGAAAAATTCCCTCTAGAAAGTTATATAGATGATGGCATGCCTCTGGCTAATAGGAAAAGTATCATATACAGGACCCAGACACTACTACTTTGAGCTGGCGAGTATATATTTGAAATTAAAGAATTATTTAAAATATGAAATATTATTAAAAATTGCAATTTGAAATTGCGACGATATAAAAATATATAATTGCTCGTTTATTAATTAAATTTAAAATATGAACTTACATAAATTTTAATCTTTCTTGCAGAATTTTCAACAGTTCAAAATGCATGCCACATACATGTGAAACAATGTAATACAATACGAGTTAATTATTAACAACAAACTTTGTATACACTTTCAGATGATTTGCTTTATGAAGAGATTTAAAGGATATTCAATGGGAATATCTGTGGCAGGCTTTTTCTATGTTAGAAAGGATTTCCTAAATAGAGTAAGTTATTTTATTACAAAATTANTTCAAAAAATTTTACTTTATAAATAAGATATTTCCTGAATTCCTGCAATTTTCCAGGGTAATTTATTCGTTTTATTTTCCGCTTAATGAAATGATGATAAAATACATAGAGGGAAGTATTAAAATGAAATTATTCAAATTTATAATTTGCATATAAATTTTAGTTTCTGAAGCTAACAAATCGCAGCCAGTATCGCGTATGTTCTAATAATATATAAATATTTTTTAACTATTTAAGATGATTTATACGATATATACATTATGATAAAGTTGGAATTTGTAAATAAAATGCTTCTATCTTTCGATTAGGAAGAAGAATACATATAGATTATACGTTATTTTTTTCAGTAATTCCCTGAGTACGTATGGAATACGTTTATATACAGCTTTCAGCGAAATCGTACAGACTGTCGTACAATACATATTGTTAAAAGGAAAATAGGTAATAAAAAATGTTATATCTGGTTGAATGAAGATTAACAAAAAAAAAAAACACGTAGACACTGTGAGAAAATGTTTCTCACAGTGTCACAAAATTTCTCAGTCAATAAAAGAAAAAAACACTATAAAACATTCTCATCAAACAACAGAAATGTGTAAGAATATGACATAAAACGTGTTTGTGTGGTAAAGCGTGTCTTATTGGGTAATAATTCATGAAAAACAATAAAAAAAAAAAATATTTATCTGTAGATAAATTTTATGAAAAACCGCTTTTAAAACGTGAAGTAGAAGCGTTTTTTATTGCCAATTTTTTCGTTCAGATTTAAAATTTAATAATTTCATTTTGGAATATCGATACAAAAACATGGAATGACGTAAAGTCATAAATAATGGAACCGGTAATAAATACGGCCAGAATGTATTCCACCAATTTCCAGATATATGTTTGGAATAGCACGTTCCATTACTGAAAAAGTAAAAATTAGATTTTATCGTAGGTATTATTTACGGTAATTAACGAAATAAAATTCTCTTACGGTAAGCACATTCCACTATTGTTGTTACAAGGCGTCCCTGGAAATACAGCAAATATTGTTCTATTTGGTAGGAAAATCTTCAGGTCCGATGTCGACTTGCAATTACCTTCCTTATCCACGCAGCAAATCTGACATTCTAAGCTTTTTGGACATTTACATAATTGTAATCCGTTATTTTTGCAAACATCCACGAGACAACTGCCAGATTTACAAATATTAGGACCCGAACACGATGTTCCGTCTGGTAAAATCACCTCCGGGCAGAATGGCGACAATCCATTGCAGTAGAGAATTTTTTCTCGGCAAGGAGTGTACACGAAACATTGGCGTTGTCCCTCTTTTGCAAGAAATTCGCACTTCTCGTTGCAGCAATCGCCTTCTCGCGGACTACAAAAGTTTTGTGATTGTTTGAGGAGTGTACACGGCGCGCGTGATCCTGGTGGATTACAACACGGATCCAGTTTTTCGCAGTATTCGGGACTTCCGCAGTCGCATTCTTCTCCTTGTTCTGTTATTCCGTTACCACATATAGACTTTGGCTTCTTCATGCAAAAGGCTAAAAAAATTTAAAAAATGTCATAAAATTGAAAATAGTAAATTCTCAAATCAAAAGAAATTGTATTAAAACTGAATAATTTAAGATAAAATTCCAGCGACGAGTTGCTTAACTTTTCCGGCAACATTTGTTGCACTATCTGTTGTGATATTTTATTAAAAATGTTTATATTTTTAATATTAAAAAATAGAAGAAAGCTTAATTTTGAGGGTAAGAATAGGTTTTTTACAAAAATTCTAAATGCTGATAACGAATATAATCGTCATTAATTGTCACCCTCCTGGGAGAATATATCTTTTTCATCATTTCCTTGACTTTTATTTACCAAAATTTAATAGTCTCAATCTCCCTAATAAACGAACTTTCCTGCAAAACTTCAGAATTTTTTGACAAAAACACAGGCGTTATTAAGCCTCAAACAGAGTAAATAAAGAGTCATTTTTAACCGATTGCCATACTTTTCCTCTATTATATACAACAGCAGGAAAAGTAAAAATATCAGACAGTGCATTTAGACAGTGCATTGCAAAAACATTTTTAATAGAATATAAAATTATTTTATGTATAATATTTAGAATTATTGAAATTAAGCACCTCCCTTATCCACAAAAAGATTATCGTATATTTGATTTTTGCTGCAAGGAGAAAACTTCCAGTTATTGTACAACGATCCATCGGTATAGTTAGAAATCAAAGCGCCGTACATAACATAATTTCCTAAATAATCTCTTCGGTCTCCAGGTGAACACACCGGATCATTAGGTGGATCGTGGGAACTTCCGAACGAATGTCCCATTTCATGAAGCAAACTTTTACTAATCTCCATCTTTGGAACTCTTCTTTCATNAAGATATTTCCTGAATTCCTGCAATTTTCCAGGGTAATTTATTCGTTTTATTTTCCGCTTAATGAAATGATAAAATACATAGAGGGAGGTATTAAAATGAAATTATTCAAATTTATAATTTGCATATAAATTTTAGTTTCTGAAGCTAACAAATCGCAGCCAGTATCGCGTATGTTCTAATAATATATAAATATTTTTTAACTATTTAAGATGATTTATACGATATATACATTATGATAAAGTTGGAATTTGTAAATAAAATGCTTCTATCTTTCGATTAGGAAGAAGAATACATATAGATTATACGTTATTTTTTTCAGTAATTCCCTGAGTACGTATGGAATACGTTTATATACAGCTTTCAGCGAAATCGTACAGACTGTCGTACAATACATATTGTTAAAAGGAAAATAGGTAATAAAAAATGTTATATCTGGTTGAATGAAGATTAACAAAAAAAAAAAACACGTAGACACTGTGAGAAAATGTTTCTCACAGTGTCACAAAATTTCTCAGTCAATAAAAGAAAAAAACACTATAAAACATTCTCATCAAACAACAGAAATGTGTAAGAATATGACATAAAACGTGTTTGTGTGGTAAAGCGTGTCTTATTGGGTAATAATTCATGAAAAACAATAAAAAAAAAAAATATTTATCTGTAGATAAATTTTATGAAAAACCGCTTTTAAAACGTGAAGTAGAAGCGTTTTTTATTGCCAATTTTTTCGTTCAGATTTAAAATTTAATAATTTCATTTTGGAATATCGATACAAAAACATGGAATGACGTAAAGTCATAAATAATGGAACCGGTAATAAATACGGCCAGAATGTATTCCACCAATTTCCAGATATATGTTTGGAATAGCACGTTCCATTACTGAAAAAGTAAAAATTAGATTTTATCGTAGGTATTATTTACGGTAATTAACGAAATAAAATTCTCTTACGGTAAGCACATTCCACTATTGTTGTTACAAGGCGTCCCTGGAAATACAGCAAATATTGTTCTATTTGGTAGGAAAATCTTCAGGTCCGATGTCGACTTGCAATTACCTTCCTTATCCACGCAGCAAATCTGACATTCTAAGCTTTTTGGACATTTACATAATTGTAATCCGTTATTTTTGCAAACATCCACGAGACAACTGCCAGATTTACAAATATTAGGACCCGAACACGATGTTCCGTCTGGTAAAATCACCTCCGGGCAGAATGGCGACAATCCATTGCAGTAGAGAATTTTTTCTCGGCAAGGAGTGTACACGAAACATTGGCGTTGTCCCTCTTTTGCAAGAAATTCGCACTTCTCGTTGCAGCAATCGCCTTCTCGCGGACTACAAAAGTTTTGTGATTGTTTGAGGAGTGTACACGGCGCGCGTGATCCTGGTGGATTACAACACGGATCCAGTTTTTCGCAGTATTCGGGACTTCCGCAGTCGCATTCTTCTCCTTGTTCTGTTATTCCGTTACCACATATAGACTTTGGCTTCTTCATGCAAAAGGCTAAAAAAATTTAAAAAATGTCATAAAATTGAAAATAGTAAATTCTCAAATCAAAAGAAATTGTATTAAAACTGAATAATTTAAGATAAAATTCCAGCGACGAGTTGCTTAACTTTTCCGGCAACATTTGTTGCACTATCTGTTGTGATATTTTATTAAAAATGTTTATATTTTTAATATTAAAAAATAGAAGAAAGCTTAATTTTGAGGGTAAGAATAGGTTTTTTACAAAAATTCTAAATGCTGATAACGAATATAATCGTCATTAATTGTCACCCTCCTGGGAGAATATATCTTTTTCATCATTTCCTTGACTTTTATTTACCAAAATTTAATAGTCTCAATCTCCCTAATAAACGAACTTTCCTGCAAAACTTCAGAATTTTTTGACAAAAACACAGGCGTTATTAAGCCTCAAACAGAGTAAATAAAGAGTCATTTTTAACCGATTGCCATACTTTTCCTCTATTATATACAACAGCAGGAAAAGTAAAAATATCAGACAGTGCATTTAGACAGTGCATTGCAAAAACATTTTTAATAGAATATAAAATTATTTTATGTATAATATTTAGAATTATTGAAATTAAGCACCTCCCTTATCCACAAAAAGATTATCGTATATTTGATTTTTGCTGCAAGGAGAAAACTTCCAGTTATTGTACAACGATCCATCGGTATAGTTAGAAATCAAAGCGCCGTACATAACATAATTTCCTAAATAATCTCTTCGGTCTCCAGGTGAACACACCGGATCATTAGGTGGATCGTGGGAACTTCCGAACGAATGTCCCATTTCATGAAGCAAACTTTTACTAATCTCCATCTTTGGAACTCTTCTTTCATTGGCAATGATAGATACAAATGCCACGTTTATACTTGTTCCTTTTGTGTTTCCGTGGCAAACACCATCTAGAACAACATTGTAAGTCATTAGAAGTATTCGAAATGTTCGAATGACAATTAAAATCATTAACGGTGCATATGAAATTAATATACTGCTGGCCGAGTAAATGCAACATCGTGATGGATTGTACTGTACATATTGAAACAACGGAAGCTTTTTAAATGGTTTTGCATTTTACTTCGCCAGAAGGGTATTATGAATATTATTAGATAAAATACGTAGAAAAGCATTATTTAGTTTACATATATTTTAACTTCAATTCAACTTTTAAATCTTAAAGGTTTTGACTTTGTGCTTAATGTTATTATTAACTGATCTCGATTATATTATAAGATTTGAAAATCTTGGGAAACGTAACTAGAACATAACTTTTATATATTTCAGCTAAAATTAAAGCTTTTTTAATGGAAATTTTTTTTAAGAATAATAGTACAGAACGATGAACTTCACGTAGATTAGTATTTTATTTTAAATAAATGAGTAGATAAACCTCTTCACTGAAGACCGAGCTGGAGGCAAGGCTGTTCAATTATCCACGACTTCCAAAAGTTTACTACGTTGCGAAGTTGTAGAAAGTTAAAAAGCCTTGAAATGTGAAGATCGAATGTAAATAAGACAATGTGTCAAATAAGCAGTCGTGCACAATACAGCAATATTGCGAGAAGAGTGGTGAGTGATTGAATGTAGCCAATCATGTTAACTATCAAACGTTATTAAGAGATTTATATAAAAGCGGTGGAATGTTTCTACAAAAATTCCTAATTTTACATTCAAGCAATTGAGAAATACGAAGTTATTTCTACTGCTTGCCTGTATTATTTATAATTACCGACAAACAACAGATTTATATATCAAATGTAAGTTTCTATTTAATGATGTGATTCGTTAGAGTAATTATGAAGCAAAACGATAGATTTATATGTTTACAACATTCATTCATAAGGAAATTTTTGCCATTAACTTTGTTATCAGCAATAATAAATAAAAATAGTCTGTTAGTCAATTATTGTGTTATATAAACTAATATTGCACAATATTTTTAGACTTACTTGTAAAAGCCTGACCAACTTTTCCCTGAAAATCTCTGTGGCAAAAGGCTATAAACATGCACCAAGTTTGTTTCGAGTTTGCAGCCAAAAGTTCCGAGTATGCAGTAGCTTTGTCAACGTAACTATTTAAATAATACGTGGGATTGTTCGGATTTTCTATAACAGTAATTTTCTCCACGTTAATTCTTATTCCTTTAGGTGCATCTTCCTTATTGAAGTCTAAATTTCTGAAAACTTTGTCTGCAACTTTCACATGATATAACATTTCTGCGATAACTGTTCCACGATCTCTATTAAAATGATCTACAAAAGTGTGGTCTGCCATTACCTCTATATTGCACATTAACGTGTTTCTACGAATAATTAGAAAACATAAATGAGTTCAAGCAATTTAGTCTCGTTACAATTATAATTGTTGAAATAACATATAATTCCACAATTAATTCAGAAACGCAAAACGAATTAAACTCACTGTTCATCAACTGTAGACTTTCGTAATAAATGAGACCTCCCGTTTTCCTTATCATTCATTAAATTAGTATTTAATGACTGATGTATTATTCTGTTGTTCAAACAGGACCGATATCGTTCGAAGCTTTTGCATCCGACAGGTTTTACGTCTACGTCTTTATAAATTATCAATTTATCTTTAAAGGTTTCGTCTTTGAAGTACGCAAATGCGTTTTCTGTGAAATAAGTTTCGTATTTTAATTGGATTTTGCCAATAAATCCATTTCTGTGAAGGTATCCATTTACAAATGATTGTTTGTCTCCCGAAACGGTGCCTTTGTATATTGAAGAGCCTTCGATGTTCTTCGGATATAATTTGATAATTTCGTCTGCAACCATATAGACTTTGGCACTTGGAGATATTATTGAATTGTCTTCCTGCAGTACCAGTTCAAACTTCTTTTTGAATGCTCGAAATTTTACCGTAATTGCTGTCTTTATTTTTATGTTTTCTAGTGTTTCACCTTCAGTGAAATTTGCTTTGAAATCTATTATCTCGTAATACTCGATCTGATCCAATTTTTTATAATTTAGTAAAGACACCGATAAAGAAAAAGAAACAAAAATATTTAGCAAAATTACCAGAGAATTCATTTTGATAAAATTTCCGATGATTACAATTTATTTGTTTCGAAACAATTGTCGAATATACAATTCATTACATTATTATAAAAAATATATTGTCGACATAAAATTAAATTGTATAATTTTTAAAAGGAGCGTAAATAATATTGCACAAAAATACTATGATCTACGTCATAAAATATTTAGAAGATTCTTATGATAAGGGACTATGCAATGAATTATTTGTATATTGTTATAACTTCGCAAAGAAAGTCATGATGTAATATGCATGCAAAAATATGTATCAATTTTTCTTTCAGTGGTTTTATTGTTATTATTTAACTTAATACATATTATTCAGTTATTTATTTTTTTAATACATATTATTCGGTATAATTTGTTAGAGTAGGTTAGGTTAGGTTAGAACGTGCGTCCCCACTGTTTCTTTTTTTGTGATGTTTAGGGACTACGGCTGTTTGAAAGGTTTTCTTCCATAAAATTAATCGATTCTAGACTAATTCGACTTAACATTTCCAAAATACGTATAATTTTTTTTGGAAATAATCCGTATAAACTATGCTATAAACAAAAAATTGTAGGATTACTTGCCAAGTGTGCACCGTTCGACGTCGGCATTGCTTAAGCTTGTTTTCGTCGCGGAGCAGCGCACGAAACGGCTGCCGCGATTTCTGATGTTTTTCTGCGAAAACTTCGTTCAACTTTGGAGACATCATTAATATAAATAATTTTAATCGCCGTTGAATAAGAAATGTTTTTCCACAAGAAATGTATAAAATTACAGTGCCGTATTAGACTTACGGTACCCAATTTACATAATGTACAGACGATAGTAAACTCAATTTACCCGCCTAAACTCTCCGTAGCGTGGCACTGGACCGCGGAAAGTAGTTCGGCTGCTCGTCCGCGATGCCGATTGGCGATGACGTTTTACCGCGTTTTACGTGTCCCTTTTAGCGGTTTTATACGAAAATTGTCGTAGTTTTTTCGCCCCGTTATAGGAATCTCCGTTATAAAAACCCGCGTTATAGGAAGCTACTGCATCTCAATTTAATAGACTAAAATTCAGTTTCGTCACTGAATAAGTAATAAAAAATTCCATGCTCATTTCAATCGGTCCGAATCGTAGGTGCGGCAAAAATATGAAATGTAATGGTTCAAATTTTTAAAAGATATTAATTATTCTGAAATTTTGCCGCCCCATAAAAGTGCCGCCCCCACTACGCTATGCCACTGCCTTCCACGACGAAGCATACACGCGGAATGAGACCCATGAGAAGAAATGAATAAAAAATGGTGCTGCGATCTAATGTAACGTCGTATGGTGACTTTTTGTTCGTATCGTGGAGCAAAAATATGTTCGAATTCCGTATGCTGGAGCGTTCGTATCCTGAGGTACCACTGTAATATCAATTGTAAATGTGATAAAGTTTTCAGAATAAAAATTAAAAATTGTGTAATCGTAGAAGCAGTAATAAAAATTAAAAGTTAGTTAAGTATTTGGAAAGATTTTGCTTTATTTACCATACTGATTTTTTCTGATTTGTAATTTATCTTTTGTTTTGCAACTGCAAATTGCATATAGAACAAATCTATTACTTATATTTATAAAATCGTATTAAGTTCGACCATACCGAAGATACAAACGACCTCCTTTATCTTCCTTCGACCTTTAATCAGAATTTAATAGCATCAATCTAAATAAACAAACCCTCTATGCGAAATTTATGAAATTTACGATACAAAGTACAGGAACTATCAAGCTTCAAATAAAGTGAACGAAATCGTGCCAAACACTCACTAACATTTATATGTACAGAAAACATTCAAGAATTTTTATAGATATCTCGACGTTTCAATGTGTCTTCAGTCTAAAAATTAAAAATCTTCAGGGGTAAGTTTCTGGCCGATTGCCATACTATTTCTCTGTTATATATATATATATGAGCGAACAAAGTAAAAATATAAATAAAAAAAATACACATTTTACTCCATATTATTACTTCTCATTATTTTTCTATACAGCAAATAATTAACATTCGCTTCGCTGAAAAATTTTCAATTAATTATCTGAAGCAGAAGAGTCAACGGTTTTTATATAGTGTTCGAAGTGAAGTAACATATAACATAAAAATCTCTTCGTACCGAAGAAAATTTTCTGTTATAGACAGGTTTTTCCTGTTTTTCATAACAGTTTAAAAACGTTTTTATTAGACGACATATATTTGAAATTTGAAATTTATTTCTCATGTCATTTGTCGACTGATTACACTGGCATTTGGCGAGCTTTTTCTACAGCAATCAGCTCGTCCAATCATGTTGAGCCACTCAAATTTCAAAATATTTAAATACTATTCTAGTTCGAAACGGACTGCAGTTGTTCTTTTCTGCTCGTTTTCATCGAACTAGTAAGACTTTAGAATTTAATTTCAATTCTATTCTTTGCATTTATTAGATGATTTTACTTTAACTTTGAATATTTAACTGATTTTTTCATTTTACTGAAATCATTCAACAATATCTAATTATAAATTGTGAGTATTAGGTCTTAACTGGTATAATTTGTTCTCTGTCGAGTAGGTAACTCCTGTTCACAATTTAAAAAATAAATAAGATTTTATATATATTAAGAAATGTAATATACAATGATATTAAAAATAATTACCCTATTCGTTACACAGAAGGACGGTTAACCGATGTATTAATGATTTATTTTAATTTTTATCTAATTTAAGTAATTTTTATAATTTCCTTCTAGTACTGTAGCATAATTATTTCAATTGATACATTCAAGTAGATATATGTGGGTGTGTATGTAAATATATATATATATTTATTTAATTATTTATATGTGTACATGTGTGTTTTCTAATTGTCTGCATATGAATCTTTATTTTCTAGGAAAATTTCAAAGTACTGTTTTATTACGTAAAGTGTTTGAATGAGCTTTTATTAATATTTCAATGGATTTTTTGACAACTGTGTTAAGCATTTCCCTGCTCTCTTCTTTATCCATATCACAGATAAGCTATGTAGAACTAGAGCAGTTTAAATACTATGAAATATTATCATTGAAAATGAAATTGTACGAAAACTTTAAAGCGGAATCTTATCGTGGGAAAACGACAATTACTGTAAAATTTCGGGCATTCAACAAGAATTTCGAGCTGAACCTGCGAGAAGACAATTCAATAACATCTCCGAGCAGCAAAGTCTTCATTGTTGGGCAAGAAATTATCAAATTATATCTAAAGAATGTGGCGGGGTCTTCCATTTACGAAGGAAACGTTTCGGGAGCTGAGCAATCTGTCGTAAACGGATATCTGCACCAAAACGGATTTATTGGTAAAATTAAATTAAATAATGAAATATATTACACAGAAACTGCCTCTACGTATTTGAAGGATGCAATTTATAAAGACAAATTGATAATTTATAAAGAAGTTGACATATTACCTATAGAATACAGAAGCTTGGATGGGAGTGCATTTTGTAGTACTCCTCTACTAAATGATTCAGTATCAACGAACTTATTCGATTATAACAAGATCTGGAGGTCAGACTTTTTCCAAAAATCTGCAATTAATAAAGAGTAAGTCTCGTTAATAATTCTTAGAATTATTATTAGTTACTATAAAGCTATTTGGATATTTTGTATAGTTACAATATTGTTTCAATTTGTATATTTAATGTCATACAGGAAAAAATTAATTTGCAATCTGGAAATCATGGCAGATCATACTTTTGTAAACCATTTTAATGGTGATCGGGCAACCATTCTTGCTGAAATGTTTTATTACGTGAAAGTGGCAGACAAAATTTTTCGAAATTTACATTTGGATAAGAGTGATTTATATAAAATAATCGGCTTCAATGTAGAGAAAATCACAGTTATAGAAGATGCGTCGAATCCTTACTATCATCTGAATTTTAATAACACTGATGATACAGAGTTTTTGTTTTTTTTGGGAATGACTGCGAAACAAACTTCGTGTTTATTTGTGAACTTCTCTCACAGAGATTTTGGTGTAGTACTTGGAAATACGTACGTAGGTATGTTTACTTTAATATCACTTCTAATAATGTATGAAAGTATGTGTTAATTTTTAGTGATTTATAAATCGAACAGTAATCTTTTAATAGGATTATAATGATAAGGAATAAGATAACGAAACGCATGGGGGATCTGCCAAAAAATATGCTCCACGGAGGACATTCATTAAGAATCATGCTCATCTTTACGTATTAGGAACGTACAGAAAACTTTTGAAGCTTCACATAGCCAACCTGTTGATGAGGAACGAGCTCGCGACTAACTGCCAGTGTCAACTATTGGCCGTGTAGATAAAACCATTGAAAATTGGTCACGCCTCTCCAACGGACGGGCTACGTGATGTATTCGAGGTTTTCATCGTGGTTATAACATATAAATATCGGGTCGTTTCCCCTAGAAGTCCTTTCAGCAGGCATCAGCTCGGCAGATTATTCATATGTTGCATTGCATTAACCTGAGAAGCCAAATCAAGTTTATGGCCAGTAATATGTAATTATGTACCACTAAACTGTAATTATGTTAATAATTCTTAACTTGTTGCCACATACAAAATCGCCTTACGGCACATCTTCATAAATTCAATATTTTTATACTTTTTTTTTAATTCCCTAATTTTTTCAATAACTTTCCTGGAAGTTTGTTAATGTTATACTTTTCATAATGACCATAGAAGATTCCGCTCAATGGCACAAAAAATAAATAACTAGGTTTCAGAATGGTAATATTTGAATTTCTTGTATGGCCCACTCGAGTGGGTTACTGGAATTGATATTCTTAATCTTGGTACACATTTTAGTCGAGTTCAGGATAGAGCACAACTGCTTTTAAGTTTTCTATTTGCTGTAAACAGTAGTCTATTTGAATAAATCTCAGTGCTGAAGTTGAAGAGAATGTAAATGNCTGTGTTAAGCATTTCCCTGCTCTCTTCTTTATCCATATCACAGATAAGCTATGTAGAACTAGAGCAGTTTAAATACTATGAAATATTATCATTGAAAATGAAATTGTACGAAAACTTTAAAGCGGAATCTTATCGTGGGAAAACGACAATTACTGTAAAATTTCGGGCATTCAACAAAAATTTCGAGCTGAACCTGCGAGAAGACAATTCAATAACATCTCCGAGCAGCAAAGTCTTCATTGTTGGGCAAGAAATTATCAAATTATATCTAAAGAATGTCGCGGGGTCTTCCATTTACGAAGGAAACGTTTCGGGAGCTGAGCAATCTGTCGTAAACGGATATCTGCACCAAAACGGATTTATTGGTAAAATTAAATTAAATAATGAAATATATTACACCGAAACTGCCTCTACGTATTTGAAGGATGCAATTTATAAAGACAAATTGATAATTTATAAAGAAGTTGACATATTACCTATAGAATACGGAAGCTTGAATGGGAGTGCATTTTGTAGTACTCCTCTACTAAATAATTCAGTATCAACGAACTTATTCGATTATAACAAGATCTGGAGGTCAGACTTTTTCCAAAAATCTGCAATTAATAAAGAGTAAGTCTCGTTAATATTTCTTAGAATTATTATTAGTTACTATAAAGCTATTTGGAAATTTTGTATAGTTACAATATTGTTTCAATTTGTATATTTAATGTCATACAGGAAAAAATTAATTTGCAATCTGGAAATCATGGCAGATCATACTTTTGTAAATCATTTTAGTGGCGATCGGGCATCCATTATTGCCGAAATGTTGTATTACGTGAAAGTGGCAGACAAAATTTTTCGAAATTTACATTTGGATAAGAGCAATTTATATAAAATAATCGGCTTCAATGTAGAGAAAATCACAGTTATAGAAGATGCGTCGAATCCTTACTATCATCTGAATTTTAATAACACTGATGAGACAGAATTTTTGTTCATTTTGGGAATGACTGCGAAACAAACTTCGTGTTTATTTGTGAACTTTTCTCACAGAGATTTTAATGTAGTACTTGGAAATACGTACTTAGGTATGTTTACTTTAATATCACTTTTAATAATGTATGAAAGTATGTTATTTTTTAGTGATTTATAAATCGAACAGTAATATTCTAATAGGATTATAATGATAAGGAATAAGACAATGCAACACGTGGGCGATCAGCCAAAAAATATGCTCCACGGAGGATATTCACTGGGAATCATGCTCATCTTTACGTATTAGGAACGTACAGAAAACTCGTGAAGCTTCACATAGCCAACCCCTTGATGAGGAACGAGCTCGCGACTAACTGCCAGTGTCAACTATTGGCCGAGTAGATAAAACCATTGAAAATTGGTCAGGCCTCTCCAACGGACTGGCTACGTGATGTATTCGGGGTTTTGATCGTGGTTGTAATATATAAATATCGGGTCGTTTTCCCTAGAAGTCCTTTCAGCAGGCATCAACTCGACAGATCATTCAAATGTTGCATTGCATTAACCTAAGAAACCAAAACGAGTTTATGGCCAGTGATATTACTCACTAAACTGTAATTATGTTAATAATTCGTAACTTGTTGCCACATACAAAATCGCGTTACGGCACATCTTCAAAAATTCAATCTTTTCATACTCTTTTTTTTAATCCTTTAAAATTTTTAAAATAACTTTCCTGGAAGTTTGCTAACCTTATACGTTTCATAACGACCATAGACGATTCCGCTCAATGGCACAAAAAATAAATAACTAGGTTTCAGGATGGTAATATTTGAATTTCATGTATGGCTCACTCGAGAGGGTTACTGGAATTGATATTCTTAATCTTGGTACACATTTTAGTCGAGTTCGGGATAGAGCAAAACTGCTCTTAAGTTCTTTATTTGCGGTAAACAGTAATCTATTTGAATAAATCTTAGTGCTGAAGTTGAAGAGAATGTAAATGCGTTTTAATTTTAAGGTTGCCAAATGACTGGTTGTTAGGTCGCACTATTGCTCTTTACGTGACGCAACTATTCTCTTACGTTTTCTGAATTCAATGCATGGAATGTAAATAGGACAAGACATTCTGCATTGTAATGTAGTATAGTATACTATACTATGCAAGAACAATGAATGTAAACATTCATCGCTGTTGCAATTTTTCTTAGAGTTCAAGTAAATGTATTCAAACACGCAGTATGGCTTCTTTTTAACTGAAGTTCGCAGATAGTATAATACCTTGAAAGTGAGTGGTGATAATTTTTTATAAAAAATTATATGCCGGATTGATTAATAATATATAATAGTGTTTAGTATTTAAATGTTATGTTATCCATAGTCTCAAAACTTTTTTTATAACGTTTTACATTAGAATCTCGCTAAACCGGCAAATCCTAGCGTAAGCAGGTGGACAGGTTGACAAGAATGCCGTATTATTGATAGTGCACAGCCCTACAGACAATGAATGATTCAGAAAACAATACCTAACGGTGACCTGTCACTCTTTAGTATTCTTTTTGGAGGGAGGCCGTTGGGGAAATTAACATGCAATATTGTGCACAGAAAGGAAACCACTGACGTGTATCCTAACTAACATTTTCATGGAAACGGGCAATGCATAGTAGGCGATCAGTCTGGAAGGTAGCCGGATAATAAAGAAGCCGGATTAGCGAGAGTCTTCTAAAATCGCATTTGTTAGTATTTCACTATATTAATATTTTTTATTGAATGTATATAATAGGAGAAGTTTGTTCTGGAAGCACGGAATATTTTAGTCGAAACGTAATCTCTGTAACTAATTTTCTACGAAATATTACACTATCAAAAGATATTGTCAGTTTAACATTGGTTCATGAAATAGGCCATACATTCGGAAGTGATCACGATCCACCAAATGACACTGTGTGTACACCCGGCAAATTTAATCATACTATAGGAAATTACATTATGTACGAAGCTCTGGAAACGCCTGAAATATTGTACAATCACTTGAAGTTCTCACCTTGTAGCGAAAGAAGTATGTACGATAATCTATTTGTAAATAACAAAGGTAATTAATTTTCATTTTTATAAAATTTTATGTATGAGAATATTTAATTTACACTATTACTTACGTCAATATAAAATACTGTTGAATGTACTGTAAGAAAATCAAGCAAACAGTTGCTGCAAAAGAAGTTTAAATTGCGCATGGGTCCATCTCTTATAATTTATTATTTTAAAATTTATATTATATCCANTTGACAACTGTGTTAAGCATTTCCCTGCTCTCTTCTTTATCCATATCACAGATAAGCTATGTAGAACTAGAGCAGTTTAAATACTATGAAATATTATCATTGAAAATGAAATTGTACGAAAACTTTAAAGCGGAATCTTATCGTGGGAAAACGACAATTACTGTAAAATTTCGGGCATTCAACAAAAATTTCGAGCTGAACCTGCGAGAAGACAATTCAATAACATCTCCGAGCAGCAAAGTCTTCATTGTTGGGCAAGAAATTATCAAATTATATCTAAAGAATGTCGCGGGGTCTTCCATTTACGAAGGAAACGTTTCGGGAGCTGAGCAATCTGTCGTAAACGGATATCTGCACCAAAACGGATTTATTGGTAAAATTAAATTAAATAATGAAATATATTACACCGAAACTGCCTCTACGTATTTGAAGGATGCAATTTATAAAGACAAATTGATAATTTATAAAGAAGTTGACATATTACCTATAGAATACGGAAGCTTGAATGGGAGTGCATTTTGTAGTACTCCTCTACTAAATAATTCAGTATCAACGAACTTATTCGATTATAACAAGATCTGGAGGTCAGACTTTTTCCAAAAATCTGCAATTAATAAAGAGTAAGTCTCGTTAATAATTCTTAGAATTATTATTAGTTACTATAAAGCTATTTGGATATTTTGTATAGTTACAATATTGTTTCAATTTGTATATTTAATGTCATACAGGAAAAAATTAATTTGCAATCTGGAAATCATGGCAGATCATACTTTTGTAAACCATTTTAATGGTGATCGGGCAACCATTCTTGCTGAAATGTTTTATTACGTGAAAGTGGCAGACAAAATTTTTCGAAATTTACATTTGGATAAGAGTGATTTATATAAAATAATCGGCTTCAATGTAGAGAAAATCACAATTATAGAAGATGCGTCGAATCCTTACTATCATCTGAATTTTAATAACACTGATGATACAGAGTTTTTGTTTTTTTTGGGAATGACTGCGAAACAAACTTCGTGTTTATTTGTGAACTTCTCTCACAGAGATTTTGGTGTAGTACTTGGAAATACGTACGTAGGTATGTTTACTTTAATATCACTTCTAATAATGTATGAAAGTATGTGTTAATTTTGTAGTGATTTATAAATCGAACAGTAATCTTTTAATAGGATTATAATGATAAGGAATAAGATAACGAAACGCATGGGGGATCTGCCAAAAAATATGCTCCACGGAGGACATTCATTAAGAATCATGCTCATCTTTACGTATTAGGAACGTACAGAAAACTTTTGAAGCTTCACATAGCCAACCTGTTGATGAGGAACGAGCTCGCGACTAACTGCCAGTGTCAACTATTGGCCGTGTAGATAAAACCATTGAAAATTGGTCACGCCTCTCCAACGGACTGGCTACGTGATGTATTCGAGGTTTTCATCGTGGTTATAACATATAAATATCGGGTCGATTCCCCTAGAAGTCCTTTCAGCAGGCATCAGCTCGGCAGATTATTCACATGTTGCATTGCATTAACCTGAGAAGCCAAACCAAAGTTTATGGCCAGTAATATTACTCACTAAACTGTAATTATGTTAATAATTCGTAACTTGTTGCCACACAAAATCGCGTTACGGCACATCTTCAAAAATTCAATCTTTTCATACTCTTTTTTTTAATCCTTTAAAATTTTTAAAATAACTTTCCTGGTAGTTTGCTAATGTTATACGTTTCATAACGACCATAGAAGATTCCGCTCAATGGCACAAAAAATAAATAACTAGGTTTCAGAATGGTAATATTTGAATTTCATGTATGGCTCACTCGAGTGGGTTACTGGAATTGATATTCTTAATCTTGGTACACATTTTAGTCGAGTACAGGATAGAGCACAACTGCTCTTAAGTTCTCTATTTGCGGTAAACAGTAGTCTATTTGAATAAATCTTAGTGCTGAAGTTGAAGAGAATGTAAATGCGTTTTAATTTTAAGGTTGTCAAATGACTGGTTGTTAGGTCGCACTATTGCTCTTACGTGAAGCAACTATTCTCTTACGTTTTCTGAATTCAATGCATGGAATGTAAATAGGACAAGACATTCTGCATTGTAATGTAGTATAGTATACTATACTATGCAAGAACAATGAATTTAAACATTCAACGCTGTTGCAATTTTTGTCGGAGTTCAAGTAAAGATATTCAAACACGCAGTATGGCTTCTTTTTAACTGAAGTTCGCAGATAGTATAATACCTTGAAAGTGAGTGGTGATAATTTTTTATAAAAAATTATATGCCGGATTAGTTAATAATATATAATAGTGTTTAGTATTTAAATGGTATGTTATCCATAGTCTCAAAACTTTTTTATAACGTTTTACATTAGAATCTCGCTAATCCGGACAATCCTAGCGTAAGCAGGTGGACAGGTTGACAAGAATGTCGGATTATTGATAGTGTACAGCCCTACATACAATGAATGATTCAGAAAACAATACCTAACGGTGACCTGTCACTCTTTAGTATTCTTTTTTGAGGGAGGCAGTTGGGGAAATTAGATGGAAAGATAACATGCAATAGAAATTAAACCTTTGACTTGTATCCTAACTATCATTTTCATAGTAATGGGCAATGCATAGGCGATCATTCTGGAAGGTAGCTGGATAATAAAGAAGCCGGATTAGAGAGAGTCTTCTGAAATCGCATTTGTTAGTATTTCACTATATTAATATTTTTTATTGAATGTATATAATAGGAGGAGTTTGTTCTGGAAGCACGGAAGATTTTAGTCTCAACGTAATCTCTATAACTAATTTTCAACGTAATATTACACTATCAAAACATATTGTCAGTTTAACATTGGTTCATGAAATAGGCCATACATTCGGAAGTGATCACGATCCACCAAATGACACTGTGTGTACACCCGGCAAATTTAATCATACTATAGGAAATTACATTATGTACGAAGCTCTGGAAACGCCTAAAATATTGTACAATCACTTGAAGTTCTCACCTTGTAGCGAAAGAAGTATGTACGATAATCTATTTGTAAATAACAAAGGTAATTAATTTTCATTTTTATAAAATTTTATGTATGAGAATATTTAATTTACACTATTACTTACGTCAATATAAAATACTGTTGAATGTACTGTAAGAAAATCAAGCAAACAGTTGCTACAAAAGAAGTTTAAATTGCGCATGGGTCCATCTCTTATAATTTATTATTTTAAATTTATATTATTAATTATCATAAAATCTTAATTTTATGGTTAGAGCTAAGTCTTATTTTTAAGATGATAATATAAATGCTAACAACATGTAAAATCTTCATTAAATTTGATCCTATTAAAAATACCATCTGTATCACTCCACCTTTCGACCTTTAAACACTAATATTTAATAGCATTAATACCTGTAGTAAATAAACTCCCCTGTTAAATTCCATAAATTTACCACAAAAGGCACAGAAGTTATAAAGTTTCGATATGGGTAGATAAAGTGGTGATATCCATGCATATAGAAAAAACCATATCATTTTGCGTTGATCGACGATTCAATGTTCGCTGAATCCGAAAATGTAGAAATCATGGAGAGATCATATTTGTCTTATTCATACAATTTCTCTGTTATGTAGAACTGCCAGGAAAGTAAAAGTAACGTTTCAGTCATACATTTTTCTCACGAAATACTTTTAAACATAAACTTAATAATTAAACTCTTATTTATCATTTCTATTAATTTTGTTTCTAAAGATGGGATTTACCACCCATGAGAAATTTGCCCGCGATAATTCAATTCCGGATCTCACAGAGCAGTAGGCTAAAGAAAATAATGTTTACATGAATAGCTTCAATAATATGTATTGAGTAAAATAATAACAATAAAACCATTGAAACAAAAAGTGATAATTACTTTTGAATGCATATTACATGATGACTTTCCTTGCGAAGAAACAAATATATTTTTTATAATAATGTAATGAATTGTATAATCGACAATTGTTTTGAANAAATCGCATTTGTTAGTATTTCACTATATTAATATTTTTTATTGAATGTATATAATAGGAGGAGTTTGTTCTGGAAGCACGGAAGTTTTTAGTTCCAACGTAATCTCTATAACTAATTTTCAACGTAATATTACACTATCAAAATATATTGTCAGTTTAACATTGGTTCATGAAATAGGCCATACATTCGGAAGTGATCACGATCCACCAAATGACACTGTGTGTACACCCGGCAAATTTAATCATACTATAGGAAATTACATTATGTACGAAGCTCTGGAAACGCCTGAAATATTGTACAATCACTTGAAGTTCTCACCTTGTAGCGAAAGAAGTATGTACGATAATCTATTTGTAAATAACAAAGGTAATTAATTTTCATTTTTATAAAATTTTATGTATGAGAATATTTAATTTACACTATTACTTACGTCAATATAAAATACTGTTGAATGTACTGTAAGAAAATCAAGCAAACAGTTGCTGCAAAAGAAGTTTAAATTGCGCATGGGTCCATCTCTTATAATTTATTATTTTAAATTTATATTATTAATTATCATAAAATCTTAATTTTATGGTTAGAGCTAAGTCTTATTTTTAAGATGATAATATAAATGCTAACAACATGTAAAATCTTCATTAAATTTGATCCTATTAAAAATACCATCTGTATCACTCCACCTTTCGACCTTTAAACACTAATATTTAATAGCATTAATACCTGTAGTAAATAAACTCCCCTGTTAAATTCCATAAATTTACCACAAAAGGCACAGAAGTTATAAAGTTTCGATATGGGTAGATAAAGTGGTGATATCCATGCATATAGAAAAAACCATATCATTTTGCGTTGATCGACGATTAAATGTTCGCTGAATCCGAAAATGTAGAAATCATGGAGAGATCATATTTGTCTTATTCATACAATTTCTCTGTTATGTAGAACTGCCAGGAAAGTAAAAGTAACGTTTCAGTCATACATTTTTCTCACGAAATACTTTTAAACATAAACTTAATAATTAAACTCTTATTTATCATTTCTATTAATTTTGTTTCTAAAGATGGGATTTACCACCCATGAGAAATTTGCCCGCGATAATTCAATTCCGGATCTCACAGAGCAGTAGGCTAAAGAAAATAATGTTTACATGAATAGCTTCAATAATATGTATTGAGTAAAATAATAACAATAAAACCATTGAAACAAAAAGTGATAATTACTTTTGAATGCATATTACATGATGACTTTCCTTGCGAAGAAACAAATATATTTTTTATAATAATGTAATGAATTGTATAATCGACAATTGTTTTGAAACAAATAAATTGTAATAATCGGAAATTTTATCAAAATGAATTCTCTGGTAATTTTGCTAAATATTTTTGTTTCTCTTTCTTTATCAATATCTTTACTAAATTATCAAAAATTGCATCAGATCGAGTATTACGAGATAATAGATTTTAAAACAAATTTAACTGAAGGTGAAACACTAGAACAAATAAGGATAAAGACAACAATTACGATGAAATTTCGAGCATTCGAATATAAATAATTTAAAACTGATACTGCGAGAAGACAATTCAATAATATCTCCAAGTGCCAAAGTCTATATAGTTGCAGACGAAATTATCAAATTATATCCGAAAAACATCGAAGGCTCTTTCTTATACAAAGGAACCGTTTCGTGAGACAAACAATCAATTGTAAATGAATACTTGCACAGAAATGGATTTATTGGCAAAATCCAATTAAAATACGATGCGTTTTTCACAGAAAACGCATTTGCGTACTCAAAAGACGAAACCTTTAAAGATATGCGAAATTATACTCCGACTTACGCGAATTCAACTTTCGCGGTTATAGCTATCGCGTAAGTTCGAGGAATTATTGTACTTATTACTTACAATGTTAGGTATTATTGTACAATAACTTACAATGTTGTTGCAGATGGTGTTTGCCGTGGAAACACAAAAGGAGCAAGTATAAACGTGGTATTTGTATTTAACATTGCTAATAAAAGAAGAGTTCCAAAGATGGAGATTAGTAAAAGTTTGCTATACGAAATAGGATCTTCGTTCGGGAGTACCCACGATCCACCTAATGATTCGGTGTGTTCACCTGGAGACCGAAGAGATTATTTAGGAAATTATGTTATGTACGGCGCTCTGATTTCTAACTATACTGATGGATCGTTGTACAACTGGCAGTTTTCTCCATGCAGAAAAATCAAATATACGATAATCTCTTCGTGAATAAGGGAGGTGCGTAATTTCAATTATTATTAAATATTATACACAGGATGATTTTAGATTCGATTAAAAAAATTCTTGCAATGCACTGTCTATATGATTTATTTACTTTTGCTGCTGTTATATATATCAGAGGAAAAGTATGGCGATCGGTCGAAAATGACTCCAAGATTTTTACAGTTTTTGGCTCAAGGCACTTTGAAACTTTGAAAAATGCAAAAACATTCGGAGGCAATTTCTCCATGTTTGAATGTTAGTGTATATATTGGGCAATATTTTATTTACACTATTTGAGGCTTAAAAATGTCTGTTTTTCGTCGAAAAATTCTGAAGTTTTGCAGGGAAGTTCGTTTATTAGGGAGATTGAGACTATTAAATTTTGGTGAATAAAAGTCAAGGAAATGATGAAAAAGATATATTCTCCCAGGAGGGTGACAACTAATGACGATTATATTCGTTATCAGCATTTAGAATTTTTGTAAAAAACCTACTCTTACCCTTAAAATTAAGCATTTTGCTATTTTGTAATATTAAAAGCATAAAAATTATTAATAGAATATCACAACAGATGGTGCCACAAATGTTGCCAGAAAAGTGAAGCAACTCGTCGCTGAAATTTTTAACTTAAATTCTACAGTTTTAACACAATTCCTTTTGATTTCAAAATTTTCATTTTTATAACCTGTTTTTAATTCCTGTAGCCATTTGCATGACGAAGCCAAAGTCAATATGTGGTAACGGAATAACAGAACAAGGAGAAGAATGCGACTGCGGAAGTATTGAATCCTGCGAAAAATTGGATCCGTGTTGTAATCCACCAGGATCACGCGCACCGTGTACACTCCTCAAACAATCGCGAAACTTTTGTAGTCCGCGGGAAGGCGATTGCTGCAACGAGAAGTGCGAATTTTTTGCGAAAGTGGAACAACGCCAATGTTTCGTGTACACTCCTTGCCGTGAAAAAATTCTCTACTGCAATGGATTGTCGCCATTCTGCCCGGAGGTGATTTTACCAGACGGAACATTGTGTTCGGGTCCTAATATCTGTAAATCTGGCAGTTGTCTCGTGGATGTTTGCAAAGATAACGGATTACAATTATGTAAATGTCCAAAAAGCTTAGAATGTCAGATTTGCTGCGCGGATAAGGAAGGTAATTGCAAATCGACATCAGACCGGAAGATTTTTCTACCAAATAGAACAATATTCGCCGTATTTCCAGGGACGCCTTGTAACAACAATAGTGGAAAGTGCTTAGTGTAAGAGAATTTTATTTTGTTAATTACCGTAAATAATATCTACTATACAATCTAATTTTTACTTTTGCAGGGATGGAACGTGCTATTCCAAATATATTCCTGAAAATTGGTGGAATACCTTCTGGCCATATTTATTACCGGTTCCGTCATTCATGACTTTCTATCTTTGCATGTTTTTGTATCGATATTCCAAAATGAAATTATTGAATTTTAAATTTTAAGAAAAGAATTGTTAATAAAAAAACGCTTTTACTTCACGTTTTAAAAGCAGTTTTTCATGAAATTAGTCTATAGGGAAATACTGTTGTTTTAATGAAATATTACTTAATAAGACACGCTTTACCACACTAATATGTGTTACGTCATACTTTTACATACCTCTGTTGTTTGATGATAATGTTTTATGGTGTTTCACGTCAGTCTGACGTGGACTGACGTAGCTCTGTTACTAATCACAAATATTTTTGCTGTTTTTTTTATGTGAGATCCACGAGTTTTGGGGGTTGTTTTAACCCATTTAACTAAAAAAAAATCTATGTAAACATCCGCCGATAGAAAAACTATCGAATAGTTACGGATCGGATGTCATTCCTATTGTCAGCAATCAGATGGAAAAGTCGACACACAGGTGTCAGAAAATGCACTGTCATCGGCAACATGAGCGATCACGTGACATTTTCCCGTCACAAGTGATTAAAAGCTCGTGCCCCAAAAGTTCAGGGCGATCGAACTAGAAGTTATACTTGGTAACTGTGCGCAGTCCGTCTCCCGGATCTCCATACAACGGACCCAAACCCACGAGAAGACAAGACACCGGAAAAAGACAGATTACGGTTTCGGACTTCCATACAGTTTGCCATATGAACGAGGACTGCGATTCCTGCGAAATTACCGACGCGTACTGTTCGTTTCCTCATAGAGGTATTTTTTGTTAACGATTTGTGTACTCTCTTTCCCTGCCACGGGAATAGGCTCAGCTAAGAGCTGCCGTTTTGTATATATTTAGTATTTAATCGCATCTAACCTCCTGTATGTTAACCTTAGATCTTAAAAGCTTTGTTTAATTGCTAACTTGTCTCCTGTCTATCCAAGGACACTTGTCGACTTGTTCACCCTCTCGCCAATCGCTAAAAAACCACCCAAAAGACAAAGTGGGCGAGTTTTACCAACTCGACGTGTAAGAGACAATTAGGAATTGACCCTGAGCCTTCGTATTCTCACATATAAATAATGTTTTATAGTGTTTTTATTCTTTTATTGACTGAGTACTGTGAAACAGTTACATTTCCTCACAGTGTTTCTACGTGTTTTTTTTTTGTTTTTGTTTATCTTTATTCAGCCAAAAATAAGATTTTTTAATTATCTATTTTTTTAAACAATGTTTATTGTACGACAGCCTGTACGATTTCTCTGAAAGGGAAATATTGAAAAAAATGACGTTTAATCTATATGTATTTTTCTTCCTAATCGAAAGACAGAGTCATATTTACAAATTCCAACTTTATCAAAGTGTACAAATGTTCTGAATCATCTTGAATAGTTCGAAAATATTTATATATTATTAAAACCCTGCTCGATTCTTACTGTGATTTATTAACTTCGCTACAATTTTTATATTAAAGCATATAAATTTTTTATAATCAGTAGCCAGTTTGAATACAATGACTAGTTATTTGCTGTGTCAATTCTTAAATTTCATATTATTGTTCTTATTGTGTGTGTGCTGCCCGTGTTTCAATATTTACACATCTCAACCTTTATTTTCAATTTATTCATCCAGATTAGAATTAAGTAGTGAAAATGTGAAAACAAGTGTGGTAAAGCCTATTTAATAGAACGATCTACAAAAGTGAATCAAATATTTTAAAAAATAAATTTATAATTATATTTATTTATTTATTATTATTTTCATATTAAATTTATTATAAAATTTAATTTAATACAATATATTAACCGGGCAGTTTTAGATACATAGACTACAGTGACTGTAAAAGAATATGTCCAGTTCCTTTTGCGCATATGCATCGACATACGCAATAAATGGTTTGAATGAAACATAATACTTAGGTAACAAAAGTAAAGTCATTGAGCATGCCAGTGGGAATCTCACAGACGGACAAAAGTCCTAACATAAGCACTTCTTCACTACCGTGAAACGTGCTAAAAAACCAAAAATGTTTTGTAAAATCCCTTTACCTGGTTGTCATTCGGTATAATAAGTTCTTCCTTTAAAATAATAACTATTTTCATATAGTGGATCAAATTATTAGCTTCCCAGAACGTAAAAATATGTACTTTGTCTTCTCCCACAAACTACGTCGTGGTCCATTCTGCGCTTGAATTCTGCGCATTCTGTAATTTGCCAATTTTCTCTCACAAGAAGTTTTCATCTATAAGTCTTTTTAATCTGCCAGAAATAAATTTTAAAAATTAAAGAAGATAAACTTACACGACGCATTTTTTATCGTTCAACTTTATCTTTTTCAATTCTCAGTGTAGTGTCTTCTATTTAGTAAATTGAAAAATATCGTAAGTAAATACTGACTCAAACAATAATAGTTTTGAAAATCCTATGCACTTACACATATATAAAGCACATAAACAGCAATATTATTCTGATTGAAAACTGAAATGAAAAGAGTTTTTCCACGAAATCATTCGAGACACTTCTCATAACCATTGGACCAATTGTCAGTTCCTCGTAAGATTTTTTAATTAAAAATTAAACTAATAAATATAACGTAGGGGAAGATCGCATTTACAATGTAGACAACGACTTAAAACGCAGATTTACGCATTTAGTTTATATTAATTGACACACTTCATTCCTCTAACTGAGATATTTATGCCAGCAATACTTTATCAATATTTCTCTTCTATAAAATTCAGCCGTAAGTAAAATTTCCACTGAAAATTGAATTCTCGACAACATTACCTTCCATCTTCTGCAAGAGAACTGAGCTTTCACTAAATTTTGAAAGATATTCCTCCCATTGTATCCGACAAATTCGTTTTATCTCAATGTTCCTCTCTGTTGAAACCATTTCAAAAAGGATTATAAAGCCTTTCCGCCCGATATGCCTTACATCAGTTATGCTTAAAAATTTTTAAATCATTAATTACAATTGTTAATTGATTATTACCTTCCGATATCCTCAAAGGCAATTCTTTGGCTAAATGTCATCACTTTAATGTAATTTATATATACCATATATTCCGGCGTATAAGACGACCCTCGACTTTTGAGAAGATTTTCTTGGGTTAAAAAGTCGTCTTATACGCCGGAATATATGGTAAGTAAAATCTCAGATCTTCGTAATAATAATATTGAAATAAGTAAAATGAAGTGTTCTATTGAAATATTATTTGTATATTTCTCATTAAAGGGAGAAATGCTGTCAATCTCATCTCTGCTACCTATAAAGTTCTGATCCCGAGTCGACTAACTACAGTTTTGAGAAGTTTAGAATTTCCAAACATGTATGGTTGCCTCAGTATGTGTTAGATATGTTCCACTTGTGAAGCTCACCAGTAGTAGACTGGGTAAATCTAGTGAACACTGATGGTTAGTCGAGGGATCGCACTTCAACAAGGAATTGACCAGATGGAGTTTTGCTGCAACAAGTGAATAGGTGTTACAGTGTGAAAAGCAAAAGAGCAAATTTCCCGTTGACAGTTCTCCTGGAGGAATCCTGCATTGGCAGATTTCCGAAATATTGCGTTGTCTTATCCTACAAACCAGTTTAATTTTTAAGAATTTACTTTAACTTAATTAACTTTCTAATTCAGTTTTACAAAAGTTCAAATTTTGTCTGCGATATATGATTAGAAAATCAGTTCACGCAACAAAATTAAAATTATAAAATCAATTAGCTAGATTATTAAAAACTAGCAGACCCCGCCACGCCTTGTTGTGGCTCAAAATGTATCTATTATAAATGTATAACACTTCCCCCGTGGGGGAAAATTTTTCGAAAAATTTTTTCTTAGTGTACATTCTCTTGACGTACCCTATTAAAACGCAATCAAAAGCGCAAAAACCCGCATCTAAAATAGTATAATAGAAGCCAAGTTTTTCACAGTAAGCCTTAATCCTGTCCCTCTCCCCCGCGGGGGGAATATCGAAAAATCCCTTCTTAGTGTACATTCTGTTGACGTACCCTATTAAAATGCAATCAAAAATGCAAAAAACCGCATTTAAAATAGTATAAATAGAAGCAGAGTTCTTTATGGTAAGCCTTGTCCGTAAGGCTTACCGTAAAGAACTGTCCATCCCCCATGTTTAACGGAATAATATACAGCCTATGTCCACCCTGAAGTTCCATTCGAAATATTGGTGAAAAAATTTTTGAAATCGGATGAGTAGTTTTGGAGATTACCTGCTGCATCCAAACTTACATACATACAAACATAGAAACATTACCTCTTTATTATATTAGTATAGATGAATATAATTAACAGTCGTCACGAACACATGTTGGTTCCTCTTAACTTTTCGATATACGTTTATGTAAAAATTGCGCAGTTTATTTGTTTCCAAATGCCTGTAAATAAAGCTTCTATACTAAAATGCATATATTCAAATTGTTTCTAATATATTCAGGCTTTATTACATTTCACGCAGCAAATGATAATTAGCAAATTTAATATGCACTTAATGCCCATATATATGAATGAAGTTCTTAAAAATGAATTCGCTTAATGAAAATGCTTATGAACTCGCTTGCACATCAGAGTAAGTATTTTTATTTTAAATTTAACGAGTAAAATATGAGAAATTGGATAAACATGGTACAGTACAGTCTCGAAAACTCGGCACTCGATAACCTGGCAGTCCGGAAAACTCGTCCACACCCTGGCAGGGCAAAAAAATCCTTAGTTAATTAATTTTCATTACAGACAGCTTTATGCCTCATAAAGTATTTTTCTGGGGTCTGTCTTATCAGGTAAATTACAATACAAAGTGTATTCATTAATTTTCATTTTCATATAGTAAAGGCTCTATGCCTTCATAAAGGACGTACTTTTCTTTTGTTTAAGGGTATTTGGGCAGTTTATTCTCTGTTGTATTCTCAAGTAAACAATACATATAAGTACAGTACAGTATTTTCTGAAGAAACACTCATACTGATTTTTAACCTCCATTCTCGATAACCCAGCATTTTCACAAACTCGGCCACCCTTCGGTCTACATTAGGCCGAGTTATCGAGACTCTACTGTATAAAGAACTTTTAAACAGCGTACAAATTAACTACATAAATAATTCAATTAGTGCAAAAATCAGGATCACAGATACTTTTGTCTTGACGACTTGAAATAGAGTGTTGCATTTTTGTATATGTTAAAACATTTTCTAAGTAAATAAACGTAAAGGTTATAAAGCAATGCAACACATAAGCGAACTGTCTCCTAATAAGATTTCGTATCAGAAACTGGCCATATATATAGGTGTAGGATACGTGAAAACACCTGGAAAACTCCATATGGACTGACGTATGTGGATTTATGTTATTGAATTAGTTTCAAAATTTCGCGTGATCAACGGTTTATTTTCGGAGAGTTATTATGGGTTACGTTACGTGTCTAACTCTTAGTTTCTTATAGTATTTTATCAATGTGGAGATGTCTCCTTCTCAGTAGGCATCTCCCCCATGAAAGATTGCCAATAAGTTATATTATTTTATTCAATTGATTGAATCCAATCGAATTCAAGCTAATTTTTAAAAAATATCAGAAACTAAAATTTATATGCAAATTATAAATTTGAATAATTATGTTTCAATACTTCCCTCTATGTATTTTCATCATTTCATTAAGCGAAAAATACAACAAATAAATTATTCTGAAAAATTGCAGGAATTCAGGTAATATCTAATTTATAAAGTAAAATTTTTTGAATGAAATAAATAAAAACGTTTAAATATTTTATAGCTTGAACAATTTATAAAATTTGATTATAGTCAAGAACATATTATTTCTGGTCTGCATTTTGAATTGTTGAAAATTTTGCAAGAAAGATTAAAATTCACGTAAGTTCATATTTTAAATTCAATTCATAAATGAACAATTATATATTGTTATATCGTCGCAATTCCAGGTTGCAATTTTTAATGATACTTCATATTTTAAATAATTCTTTGATTTTAAATATATACTCGCCACTTCAAAGTAGTAGTGTCTGGCCCCTGTGCCCCTGTACATCATACTTTTCCTGTTAGCCAGAGGCATGCTGTCACCTATATAACTTTTTAAGGGGGAGTTTTTGAATTCATATAACGTATGTTTGTATATA